TTATAAAACCTGATTCAAGCATCCTATACTTTTGTGTATTTTTTGCAAAAAAATTGATTAAAATATCTCTTGTAGTTTACGAGTTATTAGCTTTTTAAAATAAGACATACTTTCCGCCCACCCTGTACCATTAGTAAAACACTGCATATTTATCACGTGTTGAATATTGTATTCAGTGAATACTATTCACCAATCAAACAATATATTGCATATAATATTATGTATGTTACATGTGCGCAAACCTAATCCATAACTGAGCATCAGTTTAGTTACAAAACTACTGTATGTTAGTGATTGTAAGATCAGATCGCGTACACCGAGAGATAGTCAGCCATATATCTAACAGTTAATATTAATAAATATTATTATAAATATTATTATTATAAGTTATAATTTATAACCATAATTAAACGCTCACAAGTATATAATGTCTGACTATTATATACGCTATAATAATGGCGATAATTTTATTCGGATCACTAGACCCGATACGTGTAGTGTTGAGACAATGAAAGATCTCAAATGTTTTCTACAATCCAACGGTCTGTACAATGAAAACACCCACACTATTGGCCTTTCCAATTTCAGGGATAGTACGATTTATCTCTTTAACCATGATGATTGCAAATTGATCAATCAACAACTCTATATATTAATTCAAACAATGCCTAATCCCGCAATTCTGTCATCACAATTAACCAGGTATGTTTTTTATGTTTATAATATTATATATTATCATAATTAATGAAAAATTGTTCAAAACTCTAGTCTGAGTGAAGAGTCGGACCGAAAGTGTCGTGAATTGTGTGAAGAGATGTCGGCTCTGAAGGCAAGCAATGAGTCCGAAGTGAAGGCATTGGAAGCACAGCTCAACACATCCAACGACTCAATGGCCGAAGAGATCAATGATTTGAAACAAAGGTTTGATATTATCTCTCAATAAATGCTCAAAATATAATTTTGTTGAAAAACATTTTTATATAAAACATGTCTTTCACAGCAATCAGCAAATGGTCACAGATTTGAGTGAAGTGTTGGCATTGAAAGCACAGCTCAAGACATCCAACGACTCAATGGATACTCAGATCAAGGATTTGAGACAAAAGTTTTGGTTTGATATAAATTACATATAATTGATAAACTAATGTTTGATTTTTGTTTACACTTTTTTACACTTGTTTACAAAAAAAACTGATTTTTCAGCCATAAAGAAGTGATCAAAGATTGGTTTACAGCGCTGTTTATCATATGTTTAGTATCGGGTGTTCATATCGTGTCCACAAAAGTCAGTGCTTTGAGTGAAGAGTTGTCGACTTTGAAGCAAAAGGTGTCGTCAAACATGAGGTTTGTTATAATTGTTACTTAAAGTTATGTTTTATAAAAAGTTCTAACTTTATTTTAAACTACAATTTATTTAAATTTTTAGTGATCCAGAAATGGTTCCACCGTTTAGTGAATTGTGGGCCAAAAACAGTTGTTTAACTCAAGAGTTGTTTCCTCTGAACGCAAGCAATGGATACGAAGTGAAAGCACAGCTCAAGTCAGCCATGGATTCAATGCAGACAATGGAGAAAGAAATCAGTGAATTGAGAGAAATGTTTTTGATTTCTGATAACAGGTTTAATATAAGCAATAAACAGATATTAGATTACAATTAATAATTAAATACACTTTTAAACTATTTTCAGTTATCAAACAGTGGCCACAGATTTACGCATAATTACTATACAGTTAATTATTTTATGTTTGTTATGCGCTGTTTATATTTTGTGGCCAAAAATCAGTGGTTTGAGTGAACAATTGGCTCAAGAAATTAATACACCGAATATAAGGTTTCTAATTGTAATCTTTCATAAAATATACAATTTATTTAAATTTCACGTTTAAATAGGGGTTCAATGAGTGATTTGTCCTCTAGTTCTTCATCGATCGGATCCCACAATGAAATGACTACTAATTCAGACGAAACCAGAGATGAGATCAATATTAGGGATATGTTTAAGAAAATTGAGAACAAAATCAAAGATCAATGCCAACTGATATACACTTTATTGGAGGCTTTAGTCATAGAGAATAAGTTATCGCTGACAGCACTCGAAGACATCAGACAATTGGCCGAAGACTCGGATGACAGCGAATCCATAGTTGTTGTCGACTCACATCACGAATAAGACATTTTGTATTATCTTATAAATTGTCAAAAACTATTATTTTATTCATTATTTCATTTGTTATTTTTATACCATACCGTAACTTAAGTCGAGTTTTTAATTATTATTTCAATTGAATACCATTAGAATTGTCTCTCAAATAGTTTTTCACTCACTTTTTAATACTATAATTAACAATATTTCTGATGACAGCGAATCCGTGGCCAGTGGCACACTTTGCAAATAAGACAATTTAAATTTAGTTTTTGTATTGTATTTCTAATTGTCTTAAATCTATCATTTTATCTATTATTTTATTCGATTTTCTTATAACATGTCTTATAACATAAATAGAAATTTTAATTATTACTATTATTATTGTGTTAATTATAAATACAATTAGAATTTTGATGTATAATTTGTATTACTTATTCTATGTCTTAAATATATCATTTTATTCATTATATTATTTGTTTTTCTTATCAAATAAGTTGTGAACTTTATTATTACTATATTATTAGTTATAAATACAATAAGAATATTCATTAAATAAGATATTTACTGATTTTTAGACCAACTTTTCATTGAATTACTAATATTTTTCATAACGTAATTAATAATATTGTTGTTTTCCTTATAAAACATTTTTGTATTTTCAGTATTATTATTATTTTTTTGTTTAAACATTTAATAATTGTAAAATTAATAAGAATCGTAACATTAAACTAAAATAATTATTAAAAATTAACAAAATTGTACCATTATTTATAAACTCATTCTGAAGTAATTCAAAATAAAAAAAATGTAAAACAATTAAACAGAGGCTAGAAATGCGGTACGGATTGTGTGATCACATCCCTGTCCGCAGACATTGTGTTGGCTTTTGATTAAGAAATAAACGGCGACCGAAGCCGAGGGCACGGGTGGTGTCGGAGCCGATGGCTATAGCATTAAGCGTTGTGTCAAACAGTTTACCACAGTTTTGGCACTCGTATTGTTGTGATTATTTTTTGTCTCAATATTATTATTGGTTTCTTTAATATGTTTGTTATCTAAATATTGATTTAATTCATGTGATTAACAGTGATTTTACAAAATGTTTAAATCAAATGTTCTGTATTTTTAAAATAGGGTTTAATACCTGAAACTGTGGCCTATTTTATGACACTTTTATAGTGTCCTCTTAAATTAGATTTTTGGCTAAACATTTATTACAATCACTGAAATTATAAACAGTATGCGTTTGTGTTGTAAGAGTGAGAATTTTGCCATAATTTCTTAATTAAGTTTGAATTATCTTTGATTCAAACAAATAAATAAATATTGATTTGTAGAAAAAGCTATTAAGAAAATGTTAAACTAACTTGCATTTATAAAAAAGCAAATTAAATATCAATAATTGATTATTATATTTGAAACTCATTTCATTCAAAGAATCACAACTTTGTGTAAAAATAAATCTGATTTCAAACAAAACTTTTTTCAAATAATGTATTCAAAAGTTAACAATTAGTTTCTGGGAATGAAAGGGAAAGTTAAGAACAAAGGATGGGAAGAAGTGTAGGATAGAGTGGTAGAGCACAGGTGTGTTCATCCCATGGCCTCACCATTCATACCAATGTTAAACGTATGGACAATAAACCCATTCATACGTGGGTTACAAATATTATTCGTATACACCAGTACGTCCCTTACCCTTATTATAATGGGACGTGATTTCTGTTACATTGATCATTTTTAACATATTGCAAACATGGTAGTTAAACTTGAGCATAAATTACATTACAAAATTTACCCTGGATTTACCCTAGCGGGACAACTAGGTATAAACCAATGGCAGGCAATGAATAGGGATTATAAAAGTGTCCTAAAATAGGCCACAGTTTCAGGTATTGAATGCTATTTTAAAAATTCAGTGCATTTGAGTCAAACATACAGTGGATTAGTTTTGAAAAATAATTCATGAAAAATAAATAAAGAAAATATTTTTGTTTAAAATGTGTTCAAAATTAACGAGTGTTTCGTTGATTGAAATGAAGTGTAAATTAAATGCAATGAAGAGTTTGTGTGAAATAATAGACAAAAT